CGAGTCTGAAAAAAAACTGTCTGTAAAGTCAATTGTGGACCAGATTTTGCCTTTTGCGCAATCGGCTAGTATGTCCTCAACACGCGGCAGGGGGAAAACATCATGGACCGTATTTGCATTGAGTTCCCGGAAGTCGTTAACCCAACGAGGGAGTGCAGTGCGGTCGGCTTTTGGGATTAAGAAGGCAGGCGAAGCAAAGGAAGAGTTAGACGGGCGTATGCGTCCTGCGTCGAGGTGCTTTTGAATGAGGGTGCTCCAGGCATCGCGGTATTTGCGGGGACTGGAGTATGACCGTTGGATAGGGACTTGTAAGCCGTCTTCATCTGAATCTCACATTGGACATCTGTCGGCAAGTGGTCGACATGTGGGATCGGTTCGAAGATGGGGCGGTATTCCTGTTTGAGTTTGTCTCCGAGGTTCTGGAGCCGTTCCCAATCGGTAAGGATCTCAACGCGCTCACGGATTGCGGCAACAACGTCGACCTCTTTGACAGGCTCGAAAAGGTTCTGCCGTTCGAGATGTTCACGACGCGCTGTGCAGACCGAGGCCAGTTCTTTTGCCATTGTAATGTGGTCGGCCTTTGTTGTCTTCATGCGTTCACGAAGCTTGATCAGTGGCGGCTTAGGAGGGGGCAGGGGGTGCGGGGTCCAAAAGATTATAATTCACCCGCTTGTCTACAATGGTACATTCGTGGTGGTCGATAACTACATGGTTACGTGCAAGCCAGGGAAGTCCAAGAATAACGGGGGCGCAAAGTCCCGGTGCGATCAGAGCGCGTACAACATTTGAAGTCCATTGGGAATCGGTACTAATGCAGCGTAGGTGTACGTATTCAGTCAAGGTTCGTTTCGAGGTGGTGGAGTCGGACATGGCGACATCGACGGTTTCAGGGACATGCAATAGGCGGCGGCGAAGCTGGAGACGATCGACGAGTTCCGGGGTGATTAGAACTAGGTAGGAACCGTCATCAATAAGGCCGCGGACGGGGATAGGGAAGTCGACGGCCGGACCGTCCATAAGGAACTTCCAGAAGAAGTGGGGAATTTATATGGGAAACTCACGTTGCGCCCGGAGAGATCGCCGTCCGACGTCCCACTGCTATCGTTCGGGTCGTCGATGGTCGGGCAAGACAGCGGCGACGTGCGTGTCGACGGACAGCGGTGGCGGCAGCGGCGGGAGTGTTCTCCTTGCCCTTCCCCTTGCGGAAGTTGTTGATGAACTTCTGCGTCACCGGAACATAGGGGTCAGCCGAAGGGAAGGGGCACGTCTTGTCGGAGCTGCGGTGGGTCGTCTGGAATGGCAGGCGGCATCGGCGGCACCCTTGGTTCACATCGAGGAGCTTCTTCTCCTCCTCCGTCAACGGCGGGCAGCGCTTGGTGGCGTTGTTGCCGGCGGAGGAAGAGGTGGAGGGCCCCTCCGAGCGGGGACGTTTCGTCGAGCTGCTGCTGTCACCGGCGGGGGCGAGGCGTTTGTTGAGCTTGCGCTCGACCTCCTCGACGGCGGCCTTCATCCGGTTGTAGCCGCGGAGGCGCGCGTCGTCGATGCGCTTCACCTCGTGGAGCCAGACCGAAAGCTTGGTGGTGGGGACGGCCTTCGCGATGGGGTCGGCCCTGTAGTCGTCCAGGAGGTCGCGGCACATGGCAGACTCGAGGTGGCTGCGGAGGCGTTCGTCGGAGAGGTGAGAGTCAGTGTTCACAAGAAGGGAGTTCATAGAGCGGATGGTATTAGCAAAAGTGAAAAAAGAATCGGACTGGAGGTGCGACGCGCCGTCATGGTGATACGATGATCATCCTCCCAGCCCGGCTGCAGGACAATGCTGCGGATCTGCTTCATAAAGTCGGGGGACGATGCCACCGAGCAACATCTTGCATTCTTCAGGATCAGCGAGGACGTCGGTGACGCGGTGGTCGCGGAAGCACCCGATGAGGGTCCTTGTCTGCTTATCGTCGGCGATGTCCTTTATCGTGCAATAATTGGTGAACGCGAGCTCGAATTCGCAGACAATAGCGGGGATGCATTCTCCGGGTGGAGGATGGGCGGTTTTCGAGGAGACAGCTTCGAGAGTGGCAGCCATCGATGACGACCGTGAGGCAAAAGAGAACGTTGGAACGGACGACGAGAAGAGTCGGAAGAGGCGGGGGAAGGAGGAGAGGGTGAGGGAGAGATCCGCGCCGGGGCTGGTCTTGGCGACGGAGGCAGTTTAGCCGAGGGTGATGTCGACGATCCGGAGATCCGTGCGGCGATCCTTCAGGCGATGGAGGGTAACGGCGTGAGGGGTGATTCGGGTTCGATGTTCTGCAAGGACGACTTGGATCGTGTGGTTAAAGGCTGGGGGACGGAGGGTTTTCTCGCTGCCAGCGTGGATGACGTGGCACAAGTGGAGGGGCGATGGTGCGCTGCGTGGTTACGCTGGGCTCTGGGTAGGAGCTTCAGCAAGCGGTAAGGCGATGGTACGCCTGGCGAGGTGCTCGGTGGCTCGGAATTCGAGACGGCGCTCGTTGATTCCCCTCAGATACGGTATCCAAACCACGGCGGGTGGATATTGTCAAAAAAATGGAAGCTTGCTTACCAAGTTTCCAAGAGATCTCCAGAAAGGCACACCAAAGACAATAAGACCCGTTTGTGATTCCAAGAAGCTAGAGAACGATACAGGGAGTCGGCGTGAAGGAGGAAGGAAGGAGAGACTAGCTAGTTCTCGTTACGTCCTGTGAGTAAGCATGTGATGTGAGTATGTGTCACGGAGCAGGTTTACATCTTTCCGGAATAAGCAATGACGCCTACGGAAATAAGACTGCGTTCAGCCTACTAGTACATGGGTGATTCTGTACCCTACTTGAGATAATGTCCTGACTACTTATACAAACCCCAAAATCATATGCAACTCCAAGAACGAAACAGAAAGTAGTAAAATTGCCCTAGTTCCCCCTCCACAGCTGTTTATCTGTCGGAAGGGCTTCCACGAGCGTATTGCCATTGGCCAGCGTACAGGACGATCGTGATGTCCGTTCGAGCGGTGTTGGTCAGCCTAGGGTTTTGAAACCCTCAGTCTCTTGGCTGACTGATACCAAGTCGTTTGTCCTATTTCCCGTTGTCCCTGGTCCTTTCCCGCCATCGCTGACCATTGGGTAATGTTCCCCTAGCCTCCAGCTCCTTGTAGATACCCCTAGTGAGACTCGTCCCAGAAAGGGTTCTTATTTCCCCAACTCCGTCTGCTCGGAATAAGAACAATCCCATCAGATCTCCTTAGCCGACCTTCGCTAGTCCCGGAACTTCACCGGAACATATATCCCCGGGCCTCGACGTCTATCACATGGAAGGCGCACGGCCTATTGGTGCAGAAATAAGACTATTCCTGCATGCCCTTGTCATCAGTATGTCCAGCCTATTCCATTGTGTGGGAATAAGACCAGAAATAGTCTCTAAAGAGGTTTGTGGGCTACACATTCCTTTACAGTTTTCGAGGCAAGCACTGTCAGTCCGCAGGGTAGTTCCCTACCCCTTGTACCTATTACTCTGTGATCACAACCCATCTGACTATACTGAGACCGTATACCAGTCCTTAGAAATAAGCCTATACTGTAATCCGACCATTCCTGAAACACGCAAAATGTGCAGTGTTTAGGTATAGTCAGATTCCAGACAGTTCACCAGAATAACGGCAAACATAAAGAAGTTGAGCAGAGTTTAAAAAGGCTTCAGACAGACAGGCATAATTTTATAAAGAGGTAGATAAAGAGGGTGATTCTGCAGCTCTGAGTGTGGACCAAATTTGAGCAAGACAATAAGAATCTTCGTCCCCGCCAGGTTGCAGTCAAGTTCAGAATTCAAGGACAGAATTGATGAAGTTACAAGTAAATTCAAGTTACTGGCGCTGGTTTGGTGCTTGAATTAGCGCCTCGAAAAACAGTGAGCGAAAAGCAGAGTTTGGCATTGTGTACACTTTTATAGGCGCATGAGTGCTTAAAATTGATCATGGGGCCAAAAGCCCTGAGGAAGCACCATTTATTGAGTGCTTCCAAAGGTCTGGACCCATAGCTACAATAGATGAAAGAAGAGCATATTAGATCCGGCACATTGCTGGTTGCATTTCTCACTCATTTCTGCGTGATTTGCATGAGACCGGGAGCATTCAAAAGCGGTCAAGCAGCACTTTGAAACTGTACCCAACACACTGGGTATCTCTGAAGGAAACAGATCTGTTAATTTTGCAGTATATGTTTTTAACCCAAACTTGAGCTGCATTTTTCTTAGCCAGTTCTAACCGATTGGGATGATCCTGGGCTCGTTTGAAAGCTAATACTGAGGCACAGGGAGGGGTAACAGATAAGAAATGGCTAGAAATAGGTGGTTTCAAATCCCCGTTCAAATCAGGCAGCGGGAATGTTGAAATCAGAAAGTCCGGTGTGTTACCTAGTGAATAGGGTATAGGTGGAAAGCACTCCTTCCCAGCTCTCGAACACATCCAGAATCGTCGCAATTTGTTCAGAATTGAATGAGAAATGAAGTGGGAAATCTGGTGTGTTCAACTTACTCTTTCTTAATCTATTTTTAGTTAGTATCCTTCCTTTTGCAAACCACTGTAAGACACTACTGATAAGATAACAATACCACCATTTATAGAAAGTGTTCATATCCAGGTTGACATCTATTTCATCATGTTGCTTGCAATATCCTGAGCATATATGGAGTCCATATAACCATTTTTGGACTCTGTATATTACCAGTATATTCTCAGGATATTAGCTAATATACGGAGCATATACAGGCCCTGTATATTCTCAGTATTTTCTGGGGGATATATCAAATATACTGGCTATACACAGGGTCTGTATATTGTGAGGATATTCTTGGTATATTTCAAATATCCTGAAGGATATACTGGAAATATACAGGGGGCATTATATTGCACCTTGTCCTCAGTGTCAGGCTTACTGGCTTGACTCCAATACTAGAACGTGTATATAAGGTTGATGGAATGTGAAGTGAATTCAAATCAGTTTGGCACTGTGACTCAGTGGTTAGAGTGCCACTCATGCAAGGTGGAGGTCCCAGGTTCAATCCCAGGCATGGCCAGCCCCATTTTTAATCCTACTATCTAAGTATTTCTAAAGTTGCTTATCAAATGCCTAACACCTGATTGAGAGGTATATGAGTAGCCAATATGAAAATTTCCGGCTAGACTCACTTAGAGTGTAGCACAAGTATCAAATATCATGAATATTTGTGCCTATCCATTCGCGAATTGCGAATATTTGTATTCATGAATTGGGTGGCAGTGCTATTCGTGCGAATGCGAATATCAGGCTTCGGGGAAGTGATATTTGCGAATATTTGTCAGGTAATCCTGGGTTAATCACGGTGGAATAGAGCAACCTCAGATCAGTAAGAACCAACCATATCTTTGCAAATATTTGTTGGGTAATCCTGGGTTAATCACGGTGGAATAGAGCAACCTCGGATCAGTGAGAACCAACCATATCTTGGCAGATTCCCAAGTCATCTGTCCGTTTCAACAGTGTCCATCTGTCAATCTGTCAAAATTGGAAGTATACAATGCTAAAGCTGGAAGTAACAGATCATGAAGTGAGCTACTGTCTTCTTTCCATGCTACAGCTGGCTTCTATCAAGAGGACCTGATTATCTTCAGAGTTTCTGAATGCTGACCATGACGAGCAGCTGATCTTCCTCAGAGTTTCCGAACACTTGCATCAGTGAGGAGCTCATATTCTTCGGAGTTTTGGTACTCTTATTTAACCTGCACTTGTGGGGCTCAACAACTCAACACCCCAATGGGCTCTGCATCTTCGAGGAATCGGAGGAGACTGCAAGCCCTCATCCTCCATCTGCTCCGGAGCCTCCATCATTCCCGTGATCCGACAACGACAACGAATCTATTGCACCAGACAACAGTGCTTCACAAGTTCCCAGTAGCAACATCTCTCATGCATCGTCTCATCACCATGGAAAAGCACCAGATAAGTGGCAGTACAATAACAACGACCTCACAGATGATGATCTATGCAACGAGGAGAATGACTTGCGTCTGTGTTGAATTTTACTTCCACACATTATGCCTGATTCCTATCTGCCAGGCCGTGCACGACACAACTATCACACTGCATTCTACTCTGAGTTCAAAAAACCCGTGCTGGAGCGCAACAAGGAAGGTGAAATTATGTTCGTCAAGGTCAAGAACCCCAGAGGAACACCCGATTCCGTGCCTGTATATCTCTTTGAATGTATTCAGTGTGTCCCTTTGCTTGGTTCATTTTATCGGCCCTATATCTGTCTTTAGATGTGGTAAACTCCTCAAGCGCAATGCACACTCGAGCACTACCTCAAACCTTCTCAACCACCAAAGAGATTGCTCGCCGAAGTCTGATCTTCGTCTGCAACAGGGACTCATGTGATCCTTTGTCTCTGGTTCAACTTACAAACGGGAGAAGCTCTGTGCCCTTACTGCTCTCTGGGTCACCCGCCATCGACACCCTTTCCGAATTGTCCAAGACCCAGAATTCCATGAAATCATTCGCCTTCTTAATCCCCTTGCTCACACACACTCTGCAAGCACCCAGGCTTGCGATGTACAGTGCCTGTACAAGCTATCATGACAGAAGACCCGGATATTCCTAGCAGTAAGTTCAACACTTCGAATTTCAACCCCTGATTTCGCTTCAGAGCACAACTGGGGCCATCCATGTCTCGCTCGACGTCTGGACTGATCTCAACATGGTTCCATGGCTTGGAGGCATCTGCTACCTTGTTCACAAAGACAAATATAAACGGTTCACTTTGGACTTCATCTGGTATATTTCAACCTCAAACTGAGTTGCAATTGCTAAAAAGTCCATAGCATCTTCAGCAGCCACACAGGCATAGCACTTGCTCAGGCTCTATATGACTGCCTGGTCAGTTATAATATTCATCTCTGGGTAGGTTGTCACCTTCCAGCTTTGCTACCACCACTAACATCTAGTTTACAGCTCCTTGCTCTTGCGGCAGATAATGCCTCAAACAATAACACTCTTGTTACTGCACTGGCCATTAAAATCGGATGGTTGGGCAGATTCAATGGGGCACTCCATCGTATTAGATGTTTCGCACACATCCTGAACCTAGTTATGAAGGTATTCTTTTCTGTGTCTTCTTTGTGACTGTGTGTTGAGTTTGGTCTATATCCAGGCCTTCCTTCGTGTCTTCCTTCGTGTGAAGAAGTCTGTTCGTGCACAGGGAACAGCAGACAAATGGAACATTTTGGAGAAGGAGGTTGCAAAGTATGATGCAGCTGACAGTGACAGTGAGGCGGGAGATTCAGATGTCGATGAGATGGATAGTGAGGAGGATGAGAACAATGGAGACGAGGAAGGAGACGTGCCGGTTGACACTGATATTGATGCTGCCCAGAATGCGGCTGACAATGAGCTGATTGACAAGTTTGAGGATGGAGAGAAGTGCACAGGCTCACAGCTTGACAACGAGATTGAGCTCCCTCCCTTGACTGTGGAGGAGCGCAAACAAGCACGGGTGTTTCTCTCAAAAGCAAATGATATTTCGCTCTTGAAGGAAAGCCCAGCTCATACATTGACAGGCTATTGGTCTGTCGAAGACTGTTCAAAATAGCTCACTCAACTCTGAAGCCTGGGAGAAAAAATCGAATGAGCTCAAGCTTGCATTCTTGGAACTTGTCAAGGTCATTGATACACGCTGGAATTCTCATGCACATTGTCTGCTCCGGATTCTTGACCGGCAGCCCGTTGTTTCCCAGATGTGCAACAATCGAAATCTCAAGTTGAGACAATACACATTCTCAGGTGAGGAGTGGACAATTATTGAACAGCTGGAGATTCTGGAGGTAAGTTGCATTATTTATTGTGGCCGAATGCTGACAACTTGAAAGACCTTCATAGTTGTGACCGAGAAAGTATCGCAGGCAGAGGTGGCTTTGGTCTTTGAGGTCATCCCCCTCATCGACAAGTTCACCAGCATGTTCGGTCAAATGATAGACAACACATCACTGCATATTGCCATTCGACATGCTGCCAATACGGGGCTTGCAGCTCTCAAACAAGTACTACTCATTCACAGACGACAGCAAGATCTATCGGATTGCGATGAGTATGTCCAGTCAACCAACCAAGTCGAGCTGACATGGTTGATTATAGTCCTGCATCCTCACTACAAAACATTCTACTTCCTGACTGTCGGATGGGAGCAGACATGGATTGATGAAGCTCTTCGACTTCTACGTCTTGCGTGGACTTCCCACTACAAGCCACAGCCAGCTCAGACAAACCCCACGACACTTAATGTTCCGAATACATCACAAACACAGACCAGCTCCCATGTACGTCTGCATGTTATTTGTTTGGTTCAGCCTCTAAGTTCTATAACTTCTATTGGATCTTGTAGCGTTCGAAGATCAGTTTCGATGTTACCATTGACTATGGCCAGGCAGCTTCTTCTGTGCCTGATGCTCTTGAAGCATGGTTGACCTCTGCTGCACTTCCACTCGAGAATGACCCAATTGGTTATCACTTGAGACAGCACAAAGCAGCAAAGACCGGACAAAGCCCTGAGGCAGAGGCATTTGCTCAAATGTGTCTTGATTACTTGTCTGCCCCAGGTATGATACATTTTTGTTTTGCATCCCGAGTTTCTGATACTGATTCCATTTTATAGCAACCTCTGTCGATGCTGAACGACTTTTCTCCTTCTCAGGAGGGACAATAATGAAACTCCGCAACCAGCTGTCTGAGAAATCTGCCTATTCCACTGTGATGGTTGGCCAGTGGGCAAGTGACCTGGACCTCACCGCAGTCGACGAGTTTGAAAGCGACACGCAAAAAGAAGCGGAGAGCATCGGCTTCAGCTGAGGCACAGGGATCATCTAAAGTTATTGTTGTTGAAGACGACAGCTTGTGGTTCAGTAGCTGAAATTGAACTTTATATGCATGCTATTCATGAATAACTCACAACTAAAAAGTATTCAAACTCGCTGAATGCGAATAGTTGCCACTCACGAGTATTCGCGAATACAGCTTACTAATCCACAAATATTCGCCATCAATACTTGTACGAATGCGAATGTCATTTCTCCCACTTCAATGAATATTCATATTCGTGAATGTATATTTGTGCTACACTCTAGACTCACTACTGGTTGTCTCTGTCATTTTCCACTGGTGCTGACACTCCTCTCTGGCAAGATGCAGTCAATTTTACTGTAGCCCTGCTTTGTTGCAATCTCTAGTGCAGTGCCATATTCTCCCCCTACTGTGTTGATATTGGTGCCCTTTTCAAGCAGGATACAGATAATCTCTGTGCGGCCCATCCAGTTGGCAGCCTGCAACAAGGTCCCATAGTGTTCCCCTGCTGCATTGATACAAGCACCCTTTTCAACAAGAATACGGACAATATCTGTGTGGCCCCAGAAGGTGGCGGCCCACAAAGAGCTCCCATATTGCCCCCCTGCTGCATTGATGTAGGCACCCTTTTCAAGAAGCATATGGACAATCTTTGTGTGGCCCCAGTAGGCAGCTGCCTGCAATGAGCTCCCATATTTCCCCCCAGCTGCATTGATATTGGCACCCTTTTCAAGAAGGATACAGACGATCTTGGTGTGACCCCTGTAGGCAGCTGCCTGCAATGAGCTCCCATATTCTCCCCCTGATGCATTGATGTTGGCACCCCTTTCAATAAGGATACAGACAATCTCTATGTGGCCCATATAGGCAGCAGCTTGCAATGAGCTCCCATATTCTCCCCCTGCTGCATTGACATCAGCACCCTGTTCAAGAAGGATACAGACAATTGCTGTGTGGCCCTTTGCAGCAGCAGCATGCAATGCACTCCCATAGTCTCCGCCTGCTGCATTGACATCAGCACTGTTTTCAACAAGGATATTGACAATCCTTGAGTAGCCCTTTGCAATGGCAGCGTGCAATGCACTCCCATATTTTCTCGCTGCTGCATTGATGTTGGAACCCTTTTTAACAAGGATATCGACAATCATTGGGTAGTCCCCGGCAATGGCAGCGTGCAATGCACTCCCATATTCTCCTCCTGCTGCATGG